CTCAGTTTACTTTTCATTGCGTGTCCCACAAACCACCAACACATTGCAATGGAACAAACAAAAACATTTTTGCTCCTTCCAACTTTTTTTTTCTTTTTTCTCTCTGCCAGATTAACATTTTTACACCGGGGTGAGGTGGATAAAGAACAATGTAGCAGGGTCATAATCACAGCCAGGCCATCGCACAAACACTGGAATTATACACCTGGGTTTTCCGTACAGAAAAGGCTGCGACACATGTCCAGAGGATGCTGCACAAAAACACCACATTAGGGAAAAAGAAAAAAAGAAAAAAAAACAGGGAGTGAGGTTTAAACTAAGTCAGTCTGAAAGACACCAGAGCGTTTTTACGACCTGCTCTGAAAGGAACTGTGTAGTAGACGCTACACATTAGAAAAAGGAAGAAGAAAAAAAAAACACCACAAAATATTACTGAAATGGTTTAAGGGACAGTCGGTCTCCGTGGTCCTAGTCCGGACTCGACTCGTCCTCACCTGTAGCTGCAGGTTTTTTGGACCTGTAGATGTCACTATGGTGCTGCGCTCTGCTTCTCCCTTTAATCTGGAGCTGCACGGTCTGCAGATGCAACATATTTGAGTCTAACCTCAGGTCTGCCCGAGGTCCGTGTTCTACAAATATTTTCCTTGTAATCTAGATTGGTATGAACATCCTAAAGGACACTTTACTCACTGTCCTCGGGCCTAAAACCTTTAAACACAGGCACCTCCTTCACATGTATAATTTAATGCTCTGTATTATGCCCCCCCAGAGGAGACAACAAGAAGCTCACTAAGTCACCCTGCAGGTTATTTCACCGCTCAGCTGATTCACAGACATAACACGCGCATATTACAGCTAAACACATAATATCACAGGGCAATTTATTTCTCCCACTTCTTTGCAAAAATATACATTTCACATCCTTATGTGGTGCATAGCAGACCACACAGAAAGTTCAAGTTTGACTTTCCCTAATGGGGAACAGGTGGAGCCCTCTACCGAACACGGTTGACCTAATTTTTGGATCAGGTGTTAATAATCAAGATTATCGGAATTTCCTGATCCATTACAGCGTCGTCCATTATACACAGAGGAGACACGCGTCAAGTAATAACCACAGTAAAGTGTTTAAATCCTAAAATTGTTGTTCACATTTGAACATTCACGCGTGCGTAAAAAATAATACAGCTTAAACGGTGTTTAATCACATAAAAGTGAACGTTTAAATCAATCAATTAAACAAAGTTCAGCTGTTATCAATGCGACATTGTCAGAGTACATATTAGGTTTATTTTTTATATTTTTACAATTAATAAGGTGTCATAATTAAGCACACTCAGTTTGGATAGACACCACAGCCCCGTCCCTACTGTCCACCTTGTCTCTCTGTCTCGGTCCTGAACGAAACAACCATGAAATAGCGGTATTCCTCACGGGACTCCACTTAATCCTCATGTTAACACAAGCCACACATGTTGCCTTAAACAACGAGGCATGCTCCACATACCCGTTCCGTCTGTGTCTCATGGCCTGGTTGTCCCTGATGACCTGGTTGCTGGACAGGAGGTCTGGATGTTGCCCGTCAATGACTTCTAGATAATTTCTGCTGCTCATCTCCACCTCGGTCGCCTTCTCTTCGAACAGCACCTGGCTGCTTAGCTTGTTAAACACGATGGTGTTCATTTTCTCCGCCAGTCAGTCCTCTAATAGCGCTGATATTCAAAAGTATTTTTTTTTATAAAACAAAATGGTAAATAACTCTTCTTGGATTCGTCACAGTTCCCCCCGTTGTGTTACCTGTGGACAAGGTGCGGATATTATATCAGTATATGAATGTGGATGAAAAGTAAAATACTGTAGTAAATATTTAGTATCACGGTGTCAGCATGAGTACGTAAAATCTATATTTTGATGACGTGAGTGACCCGTATCTCTGCGCGTGTTTACGCCGAAATATCGCAGGGAACAAAAACAGCCTTCAGACGTTAAAGCGCACCGTGCGTAAAAACCTGTTGTGGTGCGTAATGTCGTGCGTAAAATCAGAAACCTTAGATTTGTAAGGTTTATTATGGTAACAAACAGAGAAAACAAAAATCGTACTAATGAAAAAGGTCCATTCAGACTTTTAAGATGTAGTAAAGAGGTTTAACTTTGGTCGTGCGCACTTTCACTATCTTTAGCAACAAAGTCGATTTACCTCATATTTAATTTTGCATATTTATTTTATTTTTCCGGGCTGAGCAGAGAAGTTATTACAGCTCAATCTGCACTCAGGCCCCTGTGGTTTACACTGCAAACACTCGACTCGGATGAGGAAAAAGAGCTGAATTCAAGCGTGGATTTCTCTTCCCTTCGTCGTGTGCGCCGCGGTCGCACCTCACTGTAAACTGTGCACAGTTTATTCCGAGACAGCGCTGCTCTCCCGCATAAAATGCAAAACAAACAAATCTGCAGATGCAACAACATGTGTCACTTTTTTTCCCTTTTTGTGCACTTTTTAAATTGTGCAGCATTGAGTGGGTCACGTCCGCCGTCAAAAGTTACGCGCAACCACTTAAATCAGGAAAAAAACAAGAAAAGCCAAAATGACTTTTTTAAAATAATATTTCATATTGTGAGGTTTTGAATTCTTAACGACCTAAAAAGCAGAGTCCATGTGTTGTTTTCATTCAAATCCGCGCAAAATGACTCCAGTTGCGCGTATTCTCATTGACACCGCTGGAATAAAGCTTTTTAATAACATGACAATAAAACGACAACAGACACTTACCTGTGACGGGCCCCTCCTTCGTCTGTGTGCTGTGTGCAACAATAATCCCGTTTCCAGTCTCCCATTCCCTGCTCACATGTTCACGCACTGAGACCCTGAGCTCAAACCGTTCACTCCAGCGTCTCCTCCTCTCCTTTATCCAGCGGCCTGCTCTGCACCGCCCGGGACTCTGAATATTTCACCCTGCTCATGTTTCCTAGTACACAGCCCGAGCCTGCGAACATACTGTTGATGGTTTACGCCGGTTCTGGGGCCGAGGCCAGCAGTGCGGAGGGGAGGGGAGGGGAGGGAGGGTGAGAGATGAGCGAGAGGCAGAGAGGGAGAGAGAGGGAGGCTGTCTGCACCACTGCATCCATATTTGCATGAAAAATGGGATTGTGCTCAAATGCATTTGTGTCGTAGGCTTGCTTTTTTTGTTAATATTCGGAAAAAGCAGTACACAGTACTGCAACAGACAAACTTATTGGTTAGCTTTGTTACTGCACATTTTCATTATTTTATTTTTAGTGAGGTTAATGTTCTAATACAGGTGTTACATGGTAGGAAGCAGGCAGAACCCAAACGCAGCACAAAGGTCCAGCAGGTTCATTACCAAGTGCCAAAACAATAAAAATTCACAGGAGTTTCAACTACAGGTCCACAAACATGCACTTCTTTTTTCTCACTTCTCCAACCCATGGACTGCAAACACTGACCACAAACAACAATCGCACCAAGACAGAGTGAGGGAGAGAGGTACTGTATATACACCCAGGGAAACAGGTGACACCAGTGAGACTAATCAGAGACACGGGTGAGTGTGATCACACTGACTCCACCCAGCAGACAACACAGGAAGTGGAAACAGACCCCTTGCCCTATTGGACAATTTGACGGGCAGGATTCGGCCCGCGGGCCACCAGTTAATTATCAGTCCTTTAATGGCTCCATTATTGCACGATTGTACAAATTCTTCCAAATGTCCCGTCCACCACAAAATGAAAGCCTTCATTCTCGATCTGATGGAATTCTCTCCTGAAGTCCTTCACGCTGAAGTTCTTCGTCAGAACCAAAAATCGAAGTAGAACTTTCGCGGCATTGGTTAATAATAACTCAACATAATCCAAGCTAGTTTAGGACGGATTCTTACTGTATATAGCCACACGATGGTTGATTACTCCTGATGTTCCCTGTCATTGAGGTCTATTATAAAGGCTGTCGCATTATGGGCACATGAGTCATAGGTTCTGTGGACTTCAGCTGTGTTGCTTTGGGGTTTATCCAAGGTAGTGATTCTAAAGGACATGACTAAGCAGCAGAAGTTATATGAAAGGTTGGGGACGTGTGTAATTATTGTTTATTTGAACTTATTTTTATTTAACAGGGGAAGTTAACTTTTACTAACATCTTGTGCAAACATGCTATGAAAAGGCTCAGTCGTGTAATCATTTCAATTAAGGTTTGGGTGAGTTTATTTGCACTGAGAACACAATATGGAAGTTTTCCTTCTCGCCTAGAGTGAACTCGAGTTACCTCCCTCGACCTTGTCTGCGTTAGCGAGCCCCGTGGGTCACATGTACCTTCTCCAGAGATGTCACTATAGTAAGACTTCAATCTTTATCTTCCTTTCTACTGCCTCTGCTTTAGCTCACTGCAACTCAGGTCCACACTCCTGTCCACTGTCAAGTGTTGAACGGTTCAGTAGACAGAAGCACAACATTAATCATCTACTGGTGAATTACGGTATTACAGTAGGACTCACGCGCAAGCTCTCTGTAAAATAATGAAATATTGTATTTTTATTGGCAGGGTTGGAATGTCATGTGACCTCAAATACTGTATATTGACTGTTGTTGACACATAATATGTATATATATATATATATATATATATATATATATATATATATATATATATATATTCTAAATCAGACCTGGGCAAACTACGTTCCGTGGGCCAAATAGGGCTCGCTCGGCTCTAAATGCAACTTGCATTTCAGTAATTAAAAATACTGTAGTTTTATGGCAGTAAACTTAGCAACAGGTATCAGATGTCCTTAGAACCGTACTTGTTTAACGCACTTAATGCAAAAGCACAAATCTGACATGTAAGTCCTTTATATCAAACGTTGAATAAATGACAAAGTTCTGCTCTCGGACTCCACAGACACTGATGATGTCATCAGAGCTTGATCGTGCAGACCACAGAAAGTGTATTTTACCAAAGTGGGCGGGGCCTGTCTTATAAGACATTCTACAGGAAAGCTTTATTGGAAGTGAAGGATCCCGTGTTTATACTATAGAAAGGTCACACACGAGCTGCTCCCTCCAGACTGGCACGGCTGTGTTCATCCACACAATGCAATGACGCAGGCAGCGCTGCAGCTTTAATGTTATAGCGCGGGGATGTCAAACTCAATCAAATTAAGAACAGGATTAAGGCCGAGGGCCAAGCTGGGTCAATATTTAGCAAAGAACGGCTTTAAATTGAACGTGTCTTTTCATACGTATTATGACAACATATTTTTGCAGAAATATAAACTAAAAAAAATTTCACGCTTTCCTCTCTCAGCAGTAGTTTTTCCAGACCTTCAGGATCATTTTAGGAGTATTGGTTCACACACAGCATGTATTATATACAGTAATTATATGTTATTGGCTGAACAGTATGGTATACATTAACTGAACCTAGGAGGGACTGTAGCTGGCTGCTAACCTGCTAGCATACGCTGAAATCTAGACATAATTATTTACAGTAGCTGTATAAATAAAGTTCACAACTTTCATACAAATGATCAAAATTTAATCTTAACATCCTGCAGTACACGGCCAAGTGGCTGCAGGGATTTTTTAAAAATTATTATTTTAAAGTTATGTATAGATTTAACAGAACCTTGGTTAAGGTTCAACCGAAACCACAATCTCTTCCCAGCCTCAACCATAGAGGTTTGATCGCCCTAAACCTAAACGCAGACAGGACCGTATGGATGTGAAGCGTCTCTGCTGTGACAGTCATGCAGCCTCCACCGCAACATCCTCACAGAGTGTAGGGTTCCTCCACTCTGAAGAAGCCAACTAATTATCAGTCATCAGGATCTCAGTTTATACTCTGAAAATTAGTTAACTAGATTTACTTTCATTCGAGTTTTATTACCAAAAATGTAGTTAAATAAAAGGTGTCTTAAGTAGTAGATAAATTCCTTTTCCTATGGCCAAAAAATATATTCTCTTTGACTTTTTTCCACATTAATAATTCCATCATTTGAATTAGTCACATATAAAAACAGGTGTAAAAGACATTCATCTGTTACCTGTCTTTCTGTTCCCGCAATATATAAAATCACTATTTGTCATATTACGGAATGTTGTTTTATCTTGATTAATTATGACTAATCGTGACGAACCCACAGCTATCCTTTGATTAATTTGATCATGTTCAAATCATCTGACTGCTCTAATACACTTTGGATTTGTATGAACCCTGTTTTCTATCAGCATGTTGGATGTCGTACACTCTGCGGTCCAGTATCCGAAGGTTTGTTTTCATTAAACACCAGCGAGGAAATGGACATTTGACGTCACTCTACCTTTTGTTTCCGAGTTCATGTCATGTTATTGTCAGCATCATTTTGGGATTACTTGGTGTCCTCCGTACATGTCTCGTATTTATGCAGCTTGTCACTCAACATTGTGTCGTTTCCTATTACATGAGCTGGATTGTATTTATATGTGGCTTTTGTTTGGTCTGCCAATGGGCCAGCAGAGTGAAAATGTGACTTCCTTGCTGTCATAATATTTGTTTTTGTCCTTAAATCTTCAAATTGCGACCGATCGGTTTACAGAAAACACACAGATCAAATGATGTAAACATATTTTTAGGGAATGAAATATTGTAGGAAAACACAGAACTGTGTATTCACATTGTACGGTTTAAGTGTAAACTGGACCAGGCTGCAGTTATTAAACATAATACCAGCGTGGAACACGCTCTGTACTTCATCGTTCTACGTATTACCTGAAATCGGTGTCAGCTCAACCTCAACACCTTGTTTTTTTGTCCCACTGCGACAAATTATTATTTTTCCTAAAGCTTTGCTCTCTGCGCCCACAATCTGCCCCTAATTAAAGATAATGTTTTCACTCCAGCCGGGGACTTCATTTCGTCATGTAAACCAAGGTGGAATTACATACTGTGGTGCACAGACTACTTGCAAAGCCACATACATGTTTGTTCGTCTCGGTTTGCCAGCTTTAGTGGAAAGTGTGAGTGAGGAGAAAATTTGCAGGTTGTTTAAATCGCTCCGATTACTGCTTTTAGGGAGCTTTTAAACATCCAGCACAGCAATCAACAAGTTAAAACATGCACTGCTTTTTTACACGTCTGTAGTCGGAGTCGTAAGGAGCCAAAAACAAGAGTCATTAGATGAACTGGAGCTAACGCTTAAAAACACTGGGTGATAATTGAAACTTGAAAGGCCCAGAAGACTTTTAAACTTATCATTAGCCACCATCTTTGTAAAGAAAAAAAAAACATTTTTTTGCAAATGTGAGTTTGTTTTACAATGTTTTACAAAGAGAGTCAGATGTCAAAATAATTCACTTTTGTGAAACTTTTGTGAAAACTGACCTGTGGGTAGGTTGATCCCACAGTGGTCTGGGTTAGTGATTCCTCACGGGTCTTTATTTTAATTAGAATCAGTTAAGTTCAAATCAACAGTATTAACTGTATTTGAAGGAGGCTCTTTGACATCAGGCTACATTTCACTTTTTTTGTCTCTGTCTCTGGAAGACGTTCTGTCATTTTAGGAATAGGCTGAAACCGAATGTTTCCACTCTTAGGTTTCTGAGGTCATACTGTAATATTCATATTCCTAAAAGCAAGATGGTGACTTATTATTCGGAGATCCATCATCTGAGCTGTCATCGTTCGTCCTGCACCTAAACGCACACTAATATTTTAATGCTGTTTACATGACGGATACACGGACGCTCCCTGGATTTCCTGCGGCTGAGTTAAGTCAAACACAGTCTACTTTTGGTGCGTGCGGTTTTTGCCAAAACTACTCACTCAAGCTGAAATAGCAGAGACATATTTGACTTGGTCATTTTTAATGCCAGTGTAAACCCTTCAGAGTGAGATCTCTGTTATCCACGTGTCATCGCCTGCTTCATTTTTGCTTGTACTACAGTATCTTTTGATTACTCTGAGTATTTTTTTCTCTTTGTGAGCAGACAGTCGCAAAGTCCTGGAGTTTTTGGGAGAGACTGGGCAATCTGACAGAGAGCACTGAGCCAAACTGGAACACCAGTGTTATTTATGCATCACGCAGAAGGAAGGGACATTTATTAATGTCGAAATTAAGAACGAAAAACAAGGAGCAGACTGGAGGTCAAGCTAAATCTTGCAACAACTGTTGTCTTTTTTTCTTCTTCTGTGTCTTAAGTCAGTCAGCAATCAGATACAGAATTAAATAAGATGTTCAGTAATGACTGGCTGATGATTGGTTGATTTGTCGCTCTTCCCCTGAGGTCCAGCGCTGTGATAGCCCGATGAAAAGATTCTAATGAAAAAAACTAAAGGATAATATCATTTTTGGTGCAAGGCCATACGGAGCTTTCAGGTCGGTTCAATAACCAGTGAGGGAATTCTGGCTAAACTTCTGCTTCACAGCTGTGCGTCTGGGAGACAGCGCCAATTTATCACTATCTGCTGTGTGAGGAACTTGGCATTTTTTAAAGCATCTTCAACAGACACTATCCTCTCTGTGCAAATGGTTTTAACTGCCGGCTGGCTGTCAGTAGCCTTGACTCTCTGGTGCTGTGAGGGGCAAGGTGAAAATGTGCAGAAAGCCTTTAGTTGGATTTTTTGTTTTTAAACACACCAAGCTGCGTGACAGTAAATCAGTTTAAAAGAAGCAAAAATCACTACCCTGTTCTTTCTTTCTTCCTTTTTAAAATATGTACGCTAACACTGAAGGCTAATTATTGGGATTTTCATGTCATACCGTTCATGTTTCATCAAATCAGGGCAGCGCTGTCTAGGATTTCACAATTTGGTCAATTTCAAGGTCAGGCAGAAGCATATGCAGGATCTATTATTGTGGTTGACAGGCATATCCTCCTGTTCTTCTACCTACAACAGACAAAAGATCTGGTCAGGAAGAAGTTCTAGCTGTTTAATCAGAAATGCCTAGATGTTGAGTGCCATAACAGTTCAGGATGAGTCATGATGACTAATCCATCATGAGACCTCCACCCACTTATTCTCCTTCTAATAGTCATGGAATACCAATGTCACAGTCTCACAGTGTTGACACACCCCCCAATGCAAATCAGTAGCAATTTTTCCACTTCTTCTAATGAAGTACTTTTTGTAAACCCTTCAGAGTGAGATCTCTGTTATCCACGTGTCATCGCCTGCTTCATTTTTGCTTGTACTACAGTATCTTTTGATTACTCTGAGTATTTTTTTCTCTTTGTGAGCAGACAGTCGCAAAGTCCTGGAGTTTTTGGGAGAGACTGGGCAATCTGACAGAGAGCACTGAGCCAAACTGGAACACCAGTGTTATTTATGCATCACGCAGAAGGAAGGGACATTTATTAATGTCGAAATTAAGAACGAAAAACAAGGAGCAGACTGGAGGTCAAGCTAAATCTTGCAACAACTGTTGTCTTTTTTTCTTCTTCTGTGTCTTAAGTCAGTCAGCAATCAGAT